CGGAGTGTGGCGACTTGGACTTCCGCACATTTGTGCAAAGTTCTATGTCGAAAACAGACAGACAGATTCAGATTGTACGTTGAATCTGTGTATTTCTGTAGAATCCCCCTGATCCAGTGGCGTCGTCGAGTAATTAATTCTGTAATCTGTTTACGTTTGTTTGAAGATAATGCAAATCGTCTAATAGCTGATATCGTCTTGGGACACCATCATCGGTGACTTGGCCATGTGCCATGACTATCATCCAAACAAATTTTATACTGTTTGCTGATTGTTAGTCACGGGACTAGACAGAAAATGTGGTCAATTCATGAATTAGCACCGTAGGATAGAGAATACTTTTGGGTGAACACGTGTTAGCAAATTGTCTCTGTCTGTCTGTCTGTCTGTTTTCGACATAGAACTTTGCACAAATGTGCGCCAGTTCAAGTCCCCACATTCCGTGTAGCACGCGAAGCAAGAGAAGAAAGTACAAGAAAAGCATAATAGAAACAGTGAGCAGAGGTGTGAGACAAAGGAGTCTGTCTGTCTGTCTGTTTTCGACATAGAACTTTGCACAAATGTGCGGAAGTTCAAGTCGCCACATTCCGTGTAGCACGCGAAGCAAGAGAAGAAAGTACAAGAAAAGCATAATAGAAACAGTGAGCAGAGGTGTGAGACAAAGGAGTAATAAAGAAAAAAAAAACAGTTTCATTGGAGATCATAAGTCACAGGGAGTGGATGCATCTGCGCCACTGAGAACGATTTTGAGCCATGTCACCAATTGTTTCCAACCATAGATTTTTACCGTCCCGAGGACCCCAGCCTGGAAGTCTACACCTTCCTACGTGGCTTAGACCAACTGTTGTGGATTTCATTGACTGATGCCAAGTTTTTGTTTGACCGCCGCTAGCTTTTTTCCAGCCTGACCCTATATCCGCTAACATTGCTCGTCGAGGGAGGCGATGGCTTGGCATACGTAACACATGTCCTAACCATCTCAGTCTTTGTAGCTTCACGACTTCGTCGATTGATTTCCCCTGTTTACCTAGAACTCTACGCCTAACCTCCATGTTGCTCACCTTATTATGCCACTTTACACGGGAAATAGAACGCAGGCACCTATGATCAAAGACAGCTAGTCTTTTCATGTCTTCCACTCTCAGTGGCCAGGTCTCACAACCATAAAGGAGGACGGAGCGGACTGATGAGCAGTACACCCGCCCTTTGGTCGATAGTCGAACATCTCGTCTACGCCAGAGTCGGCGTAAACTAACAAATGCGAAACGAGCCCCTTGTATTCGTGCTGAGATTTCGTCAGAGATCAGCCCGTTGGGGCTGATGGTACTTCCCAAATAAGTGAAGCGGTCAACGTGCTCTACCACTTCACTTCCTATTTTTAAACTAGGCGTCGATGTAGTCCAGTCCTGTAACATCATCTTGCATTTGGCGGGAGCGAATCGCATGCCAAACATTCGTAGATTGCGGCTCAAGGTGTTTAGAAGACTCTGCATTTCGTCAGCGTCTTCGCCTAGAAGGACTATATCGTCTGCATATTCCAAGTCAACGAGATTATTCCCGGTAGCAAGTCAATCCCTGAGTCGCTGAAGTCACCTAGGGTTAAGTCCATTAACACATCTATGATGAAGTTGAATAGAAAAGGAGATAATGGGCATCCTTGACGGACACCACTGGTCGTCATCAGTTCAGATGACAGCTCGCCGTAAGCCCTCACCTGGCTGTATGAGTACGAATAGAGTGCCTTAATCAGTGCAATATATTTTCTCGGAATTCCCTTTACAGCCAAGCATCTCCAGAGAACTTCCCGATCGACAGAGTCGAATGCTGCCTTTAGGTCAAGAAATATAATGACTGTTGGACGCCGGTAGGAATGCCTATGTTCTAGAATCTGTCGGAGGGTGAAGATATGATCAATACACCCTCTTCCTGGTCTAAAGCCTGCCTGGCTCTCTCGTGTTTGTGCTTCCCGAGCACCACTCAGTCTACGCATGATTATTGAGCCTAAGACTTTAGATACTATATTAGTCAAGCTAATCCCTCTGTGATTATCACAGGAAGACTTGTCTCCCTTCTTGTATATGGGGATAATCAGTGACTTACACCAACCCGATGGGACTTCTTCTGATTCCCAGACGCTGCCTAGTACCTCAGTTAATCCGGACAGTAAGCTGTCTCCACCGTACTTAAATACCTCTGGAGTCATTCCATCAGGTCCCGCTGCTTTGCCTAGTTTCAGATTGGTGACAGCTTTAGTAACCTCAGTTAGTGACGGAGGACCTGTGTCTATATCCCATTCAGGGAGGTGTTGGATGCTCGGAAGGTTGAGCGTGGCTGTGGGCAAATTAAACTGCTCCTCATAATGCTCTTTCCAACGATCCAGTCGTCTATCCTGTGAGCTAATTATAGTGCCATTTTTTTCCGAGATTGTCTCACTAATGATTTGTCTTCTCCCACCCGTTTCCCTGATGAGTCCAAAGAGTTGCCTGGTGTTGCCTATCCTCGAAGCTTTCTCCATCTCTTTGGCTTTTGTCGCCCACCACTGTTCACGGTCCTTGCGGAGACTTTTCGTAAGTTTCCTCTTGTGCAGCTTTCGCTCCTCATTGAATTCGGAGCTCGCCGGAATAAGTCTTCTAGCATCTATCAGTTCGGATGAGGCGGTGGAGATCCAGTGGTTTTTACTCACCTTTGGGTTTACCTTATTCACAGCTTTTACAGCTGTATCTATGGCTGCCTGGATATTTTTCCAAGCTTCTTCAGGGTGAGCACAGCTGTCGAACACAGATATGTGTTTAGCTAGTTCTTCCTCAAATACGGATTTAGTTTCCTGATCGAGCTGGGGACGTGATGGTTTTACCGCCAGCTGTTTCCTACGTCCGTTCAGTCGTAAGCACACCCGAGCGCGGACCAGTGCATGGTCGGTATCTACGCACGTGTTCCAGAAGGAGCGACAATCTCCTACCGACCCACGCCAACGATAGCTTATTGCTATGTGGTCTATTTGTGTCCAGCGTTGGTTTGATGAAGGGGGTCTCCAAGTCAAACAGTGTCTCTCCTTGTGTTTGAAGTTAGTGCTTACAAGAAACAAATGATTATCAGAGCAGAACTGTAGGAGACGGTCACCGTTGTCGGTTCGCTGGCACGGAACTCCATAGGTGCCACCGACATCCTTCTCAGATTGACACAATTTCCCTACTTGAGCGTTAAAGTCACCAGCTAGAACGACTATGTCTGAGCGTTTAGCCTTTCCACCAAACTAGACAGCTTTTGGTAGAACTCATCCTTCGTTTCATCTGAACTGCAGTCAGTGGGGGCGTAGGCGGAGATTACGAAAAGGCATCGGCGAGTAGTGCAGTCCTTCCTCCTTCTTACTGATCCGTTCAGGCGGACAGCACACATTCGGCTATCTACCGGGATCCAGTCAAGCAATGTCTTTTCTGCCCTAGTACTCAAAGCTATCCCTACGCCAGCTAATCCTCGTGAACTAGCTGTGGCATCTCCTGACACCCTCAAGGTGAATTTTGCAGATTCAACCTGTTGGCCAGGTGGGGTTAGGTGAATAACCACACTTGGGTCTTGTATGCGTGTTTCTGAAACACAGCATACATCAATGGCTCGTGATGCCAGGGTCTTGGCTAGTGATGCTTGTTGTCCTATTTGGCAAAGTGTCCTAACATTAAGAGCTCCTATATGAAATTGGTGGCGCGGCTTTAAGAGGCTGTCGGTGGTGGTTTTTTGGCTTCCATCGTTTTTAGTGGACGCAGAGTGGAGAGGAAGTGGAGAGCTATCAAGTCGAGGAGTTGCATCAGTGGAAGGAAGGCAAGATGATAGAGATGAAGATGAAGACAAAGATGAGTGAGTAATAGAGAGGTTTCGTGTGCATTTCGGATTGTGAGGGCGATTGTTACTTCCCGGCTGCCCACACCGTGGAAGTTGGTTGCGTGACCGCAGAGCCCAGGGGACAACTGCTTGAGGCCGGTCACACGCGGCCTGTTTTTGTTCGTTCTTTTTTGTTTGGTGTGTCTCAGTAGCAGATTTATCACTCCCGCCCTGTGACACGGCAGCAGGAAGCGCGGTCGTTGTTAATCCGGGCCACGGCCGATCCGGCATGAAATTTTGTAATTTTGTATTGGACATGATGTTGGATTGGGTAGCTGCTTTTTGTTTAACCGCTATCCAAACAACCTGCCTGGCATGGTAGGACCTCAAGAGACATAAGTCTCAGCCAGTATAGCTTGATTAGGTCATTGCGGTGTTCAAGCCCGACCACCACGTCAAGGTAGCAGCTTTCGGTCGGGTGTTAGCAAATTAAGACTCCTTGGTTGGAGTTCGAGAGATTTTCTGAGTTAGTGGCTCGAGATGTTACAAGAAACGTCGTAGAATCGAAATCATTGGCTAACGTGATCTAATTTTCTTTCTCCTTTGCTTTCTGAAAATGTTATGAAATAATAAGGCTCCCCTGAATGTTTTTGACAAGCTTGCCTGCCTCTTTTCTACACTCTATTGCTGCGTGGCTATTTCATTTCTCTTTCCCTGATATTCTTGTTTTATTTTTCTATGTGACACATCCCTTGGTTCCCGTATTGTAACCTGTTGTTGTTTTAAATAAATACTTTTTTATCTTGACTGTTTCAATAGGAGCATATTGTTGGAAAATAATATTGTTTTCTCCATAGTATTGTATTCGCTGTCGAATGCTGTGTATTTCTTAAATGACTAATTCAGCATGTATTAAACCCATTAAACTGTCACTGTCAGTAATTTAAATACCACTTATTTTTTTGCTTATCCTAGGTTCTCAATTTTGGGATACCAGCAACAGCATACTCTCTTTCATTTCATCTAACTACACGTTATCATTCTAAAACAACGAGAAAGAATTTAATATGTATAGATCTGGTCGATTATTAACTGATAGTTGACATGGTAATTTGTACTGAGCGCTAAACATATTCCTTCAATACATATATAACCGTATTCCTTCAAATTATTGTATCAAAATTATGCTGAGTAGAACTGCTACTCGCTTTCCTAACTTTCTTCGGAGTCGATTGATTCACACTCATTATTCAATAATTTTGTCTACAGAAAAACCGACAAGTCTTAGTGGTGTTGACTTTAAAGGAAATTGCCGCTTTCAATCACGTAATACTAGTGCAGAGTTAGGTTCTTCTGCAAACCTTCCTGGTCATTATAAAAAGAAGGATACTTTTCACATAAGTACTATTGATGATCTGAAAAGTTTTGTGTCACATGTAAGTCCTATCATATTGTCTTACATATGTTCACACAGTTACTCATAAACATTTTTTGCCACATGATCGATAGTTGAGTAAGGTTTCTTCTTCTTACATTCCATTGCCTTGTGAGTGGCATATAGAGCTTCAAACTTTAAAGTTTCAGTAGCAGTGGGATGCGACTGCTAACTTTCACACCCAACCCTTTACCTCTACTGGAACTAATACCAGCTAAGCGGGGTTTATAAATGCGTTGGCCGGGAATCAAACCTGGACCACTTGAAGCGTATTTGGTGAGAATTTGACCACTGAACCACTGACGCATTAACGTAAATACTGTATATCCGTAATGGTTGCAATGACCGTGACGTACATAATTTCTAACGTTTAAGTATTGCCTCACTGAATACTGAGATTAAACAAAATAAGACTACCTCATATTGATTGACCTTCCCAATATCACTTTCGTTTATTTATTACATTATTATTCCCTTGAGTTCCGAGTGGAACAAAGGGCTTCAACAATACATCTGCACTTCGTTCTATTTTCTGCCGTCCTCTTCAACTGGGTTCACTATTGACCGTAATCTCTCATCTCCTCCTTGCCACACGATCTCCTCCATGTCACTCTCGCATTGACTACCCAATCGTCGCTTCCCATTTGGATACCATTCGACCGATGGCCTTCATTGCTCGTAATGTCATTCGATGGCCTCCCAAACATATGCCCGATCCATCACCATATTCTCCCACATATTTGTTGAGCGATCGGCTTTTGGTTGGTTTGTTCCTAGTTTCTTGTTACTAATTCTTTCTGGCATACCACTTGATCTTCAGTGTGGAACCAGAGAAAGCAGCTGTTGACAGAAGTCTGCAACCTGTTGGAAATCCTTTTCGTGAAACACGGTGCCAGTTTCTGACCCCTAGAGAAGAACTGACTGACTTCACATTTGTGTTGGAGATCCGAATTTCATCCTTTATGCCCCGGAGTGCAGATTTCCAAACAGGTTTCAGGTTGGTGAAAACGTATCCTACCTTTCCGGTTCTGACCTGCTCTGGCATCTTCATCCGTTCTGACTGCCTGTGGTTGAGGCGATGCTTCCTATATGGGTGAAGAAGGTGACCTCTGTCAGATCTCTCCCGTTGATGGCGAATGGTGCTGGTTGTTGTGGTGGTGGCTCGTTGGTTATCTTCATCACCTCTGTCTTTTCTATGTTCACCTGCAGTCCTATCTTCACTGGCTGCCTCTTCAGCCAGTTTGTTAGTTTTCGCCTGTTACTCTTCGAGTTTGTGTGACATTAAAGATAAATCATCTGCTAAACCCAGATATTCTAGAGTCTTCTTATCGGTGGTCCAGCGTATTCCTGTCTTCTCACTCGCAACACACAGTCTGACGCATAATCCGGTCCATCACAATTGAGAATATCATAGGTGATAATAGCCAGCCAGCTTGTCTTACTCCTGTATTCACTTCAACAGAAGGCCTCACTAAGTTTCCGTTGTGGGTCACCTGACTAACACGTGCCATTGTCATATAGCCAGCTGTTGAATGAGATTGACAAAGACGAGGTACACCGTAGTGTTGAAACAGTTTCCAAATTACTTCTCGGTCAATGCTGTCTGGTGAAGGCTTTTTCTAAGTCGATGAATTTGAGGTAGGGAGTGAGAGTTGACTGCCATTCTATGCTTTGTTCTGTGATGATGACGCGTAGAGTTGCCATTTGATCAGCACATAATTTGCCTTTCCTGAATTCAGTTTGTTTCGGTGGCTGACGGATTTCTGTCTCCAGTGCGTCTTTTATCTCTCCAGGAGGATTTGACTTAGCATTTTACTTGGCGTGGACAAGAGAATTATTCCACATCAGTTCTTGCACTGGCCTAAGTCTCCCTTCTTTGACATTTTGACGAGGTAGCCCTTCTTCCAATCAGTAGGCACCTTTCCTTCTTGCCAAGTGTTTTGCAGTGATGGAGTGAGCACAACTGCCTCAGTCTCTGGGGCAGTTTTCAGTGCTTCGGGGTGGGGAATTCCGTCTGGTCTTTTTGCCTTCCCGACTGGACTTCAGTAGCTTGATCCCCTTTAGGATTTTCGCTCTCGTTGGGGGATTAGTGTCCACTGGCATTTCTGTGTGTGGTGTTGGCGGTGGTGTGTTTCTGGACGATTTGCAGATGGCGGTCGATTCAAGATTCCTTTAAAGTGATCAGCCCATTGTTGTATTTTTTCCTCCTCCTTGGTAATCAGTTTCCCATGACCATCTTTTATTGATTTCATCATATGGGTTGATCTCTCCAGTTAACAATTTTGACAGTCCATATCGATTGCATGTGCTCTCACAGATACTAAGCACTTCTATAACATATCTTCTCATTTCGTTGGCTATCTGAGCATCCTTTGCAGTCGTGTACATTGTATGGATATTCCACCTCCCCATTCTTATTCTTGCTTTCATCAAGAGAGGGCACATCGGCTGGTTGACCAGCTTTCCAAAGGCTTTCACCAGCGTCCTGTCATTTCGCCTCTCCAATTCCAGCCAAGAATAGGTTTTTTTAACATTTTTTGTGTTTTCAACGTACTTCTTGTGAGTTGAAGTTTCTGTAGTAATTTGATTGGTTTTGTGGTGTAGGGTTGCTAGCCCCACGTCCAGCCCTCATTCTTTACACGGGTCTGGCACTGGATAGAAAACTAGCAAGCTAGTTACCTAGGCGAGGTTATTTATAGATTCATGCAGTACACTGTTAATTATCTGACAGAGCTCTTATGGTGCAATTGCGCTCAGTTAGAGGAAGTATCTGTTTGCTACAAGAAACCACAACAGTAAGAGTGGGTATATTTTATAAGTGTTAACACTTATCCACCAACTTGTAACCCTTTTAGTGTGTACCCAAATAACCCTGTAGGCTGTTCACATTAACAGCCTAATTGCAAGAAAATAAAAGTGTGTAACCTGTCACACTTGTTGGGCACAATCCATTGGCGAAGGAATTTGGTTATCAGGGTGAAAACTTACATGAAAGTTCATCATTTCAAGTTGCTATACTTCGAAAAGCAGGAATAAGAGTTTTTTATTCATCTACTTTCCTACTGGATTTCAGGCCTGAAACTACGAAGTTCCAGTTTCGGTGGTGGTGTTTCTACGAGGTGTGGTTTCTAGTCTGACGCCTAACCTTCCCTCTTTTCTGGACTCACCATCTAGCTAGTAAGCTAAGCGAGGTTTAGGAGTATGTCTGTCGGGACTCGAACCCTAAACCACTTGGATGGTTATTGGCGAGCGTCCTACCACGTCCATCGATACACAGGAATCAAAGTAGAGAGAAGAAATGTAATAAAAGTACAATCTATGGAAATGTACCAAATAAAAATGAGTCAGCTGATGACTAACGAGGGGATTTAGAATCCGGTTGCTGACAAGCAGTGTACACATCTGCACCACTGTGGAAGATTTTTGACCATTAGAAAGTATCCAATGATTAACATCGTAGAGATCCTATTCAATGTGGTTCAGAATAACAGTCAGTGACTTCGTGGATTGATGCCAAGTTTTGATTTGACTATCGCTAACTCTTTTCCAAGCTAATCCTATGTCAGTTAATATTCACTGAACGAGGAAGGCGATATTTCGGCATGCATACTACATGTCCTGGTCATCTTATTCGATGTAGCATCACAACATCATTGAATGACCCACCATCCTTAGCTAACACTCTATGCCTAACCTCAGTTTTACACACTATTATACCACCTAAAACGAGAGATAAAACGCGAACATCTGTAGTCAAAGATGGCTAGTCTCTTTTATTGACTAGTTCTTGCAACCATAGAAAAGGACACAGTGAACTGCTGCACAGTGACATAACCTTCGATCGATAGCTGGATATCACATCTACACTAAAAATGATTTGGTTCGACAAATGACATGCGTGCATTTGTTAGCAATCGGTCTACAGGGCCTATGCAACTTTCCAAATAGGTGAAGTTATCAACACGCAAATATATCAAGATTTCTGCTCAAGGTATTCAGAGGACTCTGCATTTTGTCACTGTCCTCATCTAGAAGGACAGTATCTGCAAACCCCAAACTGACGACCGTCCCCTATTAACAAGTTAATCACTAAGTCGTTGGAGTTGGTTACAGTTACATCTGTTAGTACATATATATTATTGAATTCAAGAAAAATGAGTACAGTCAGCATTATTGACGGATACCACTGTCTGTTTTTTTACTTTAGATGACAACTTTCCTTAAGGTGTTACACGGTGGCTTTAGTTCGATTAAAGAGAGGTAAGGTTAATCGTAAGGCCAGCAACCTCACCCCGTAAAAAACAACAGAAGCTCTGCTGAGACTTCAAAGCTGAAAGCCTGAAGCCCAATGTCCCACTCAGAATGCAAATGACCAAGAACTACAGTTTCATGGTGTAGCTTGTTAATGGTTGACTGCAAAGGGAAGAATGATTTCTAAAAGAATTGGTTACTGCTTGTTGAACTCTTTCACTGATGTTTCATTTATAATATAACCTCCAATTATACTTTTCTCTTAAATTTCTCCCTTTATCTAGCCTAATACTACAGTAAATGATATTTTACAAATTGATGTACGCCAGTTGCCTTCTGATGCATGCATGTTGTGTTTAGAAGCTGTTTTACGGCTTCATAAACAATCGAATAAAGATGATTCATTGATTCAACATGCTCAGAATAGTTTACGAGCTTCTGTAACATCGTCTAGTAGTGATTGGCCATTACATTATATCAATTTAGAGCATATAACAAGATGGCATAAATTTAACTTGGGCATTAATCCTTTCAATGATAATGATGATGATGCTAATTCTGATAATAAAAGAGATTGTACAGCATGGATAAATTCTGAAAAATTCGATCTTCTATTACTAACAACAACAGCTTGTGCAAACAGATTGGATTTAAGGTCTTTATTAAATTTAGCTGGACATTTTCGTTATTTTTGGGATAAATATGAACCGAAAGCGTATGCATCAATTCTACGTCAAATACATAATCAGGTAATGTTTTATTCTCATCTTTCTGTTTTGTTTCTTATTCATATCACACTGTATATTTGGCGAGGTTAAACTTTAAGCACCAGTAAGTACCAATGTAGTGCGTCCGCACTAACGACCTTGAAATGCTCAGAGAACAAGTCAGTAAAACCTGGCAAATAAAATCGTAGGTATAAATAAAATATGCTTAATGAGGTGCTATGCTATTAAGTGGGATATCTCACAAGTTTCAGGTTAGGTTTGGGAGAGGTGAAGTTGAAGTGTAGGCGAAGGACAGGTTAGGGTTAGCTTAGCCTAAAGAGGGTTGGTTCGATTTAGATTAGGGTTAGTTTAGGGATGTTTTCACGTTAGGGTTAGGTTAAGGAAAGATTGGGGTTATTGTTAAGGTTAGAAGACCTAGATAATTACATGCATAGAATGTGGTTAAATTCCTCTGTTGATACTCCAATCAGAAACTGAGTTATTTTTGTCACACGTCAGGAAAGGTATCCTGTGTAACAGTTCTACGTCTTCTAATTCATCATTTTCATGAATACATATGTATTTTATACGCGAAAATCGCCTTTATCATGTAGTTGGTGCGTTCAAGGTCATTTGTCCGTTAGTACCAACTAGTGCCTAAAGTTTAACTTCGCCGTAGTCATCAACTTATGTATATTTAGTAGCTATATATAGTTAAATCAGCTAATAAATCTTGGGTTCGAACTCTTTCATCTATTTTAGCTTGGAAAACTGACTGGGTAGTAGGATAATCAGCTCTGATGCAATAACTGTGTGGAAGTTCTGCTCCCAGTGAGTGACTGAGTTGTCATCGTGTATATCTGGAATACTTGAACCATATGAAAATAAAAACTGATTAGGAATGTAGTGGATTTACTTTAAAAATGATTTTCAGAGTTGATTAGCGGTTATTGGAGGCATATGTAGATGATGTCATATACTATTGATTGATTGATTAATGCTCGTAGTTGGATACCACTGATTATCAGCCAGTGATACTTGCTAGCGAGATCTAAACCCTGGACGACTGTTTCACTCATTTCCAGCCGGGCTCATCAGCGGTGTCAGTTGACTTAGTTCAGAACACTCGAATCAAATTCACAATGTATAATTTACACAGTTCAAGGTGTAATTTCACTATAATTTCCTGGTGTGCGGTAAAATTGTGCTTTTATTGTGTGGTATTTGTTTGGAAAGGTAATTTTTAGTACATTCTAATTTGTATAAAGTGATTAACTTGTGCCAGATATTGCCAGGTATAATGATATAAGTTACATCAAATCTTACTCTCTTCGTTCCACACATTCCAGTCGGAACGCTTCAGTAGCGGTGGTACAGGGTTACTGGCCCCACGCTCAACCTTTCCTCTTCTCTGGTGTTACTACCGGCTAGGCGTGGTTTAGAAGTTGTTTGTCGATAGGGAATCACACCTGGACCATTTGCGTGCTTGGTTGGCGAGCATTCTACCTCTAAACCACTGACACATAACTGCATAACTAACCTCATATGGCTGTACTTTGTGTTACCTGATAGGCGATGATGTTAGAATAGGCATTTTTAGAAGATAATGTTTGGTGATGCACGGCCCATTTTACTCTGCTGGTTGAATAAAGTATGATATTTATTGATGTGAATCAACTGATATCGCTTCATAGTTTGTGTAAGAGTAATGAAAAAGATATTTCTGAAAGGTGGATATCCTTAGAAGTTGATACTAGTGTGACTAATTGTCAACCTTCCATAGATTGCTATTTACTACTGTTTAAGATGTCTATAGAAGAATACTCCAAGAATTTTCTCAAAATTTAATTTTTATTATTATTTATTTTATTCCTTCACATTCCCAGTGGAACATAAGGCTTCAAGCTAGAGGCTTGAAGTTTTGGTAGGAGTGGTTTTTTTATTTTTACGAGGTGGGGTTGCTAGCCCCATGCCCAACCTTGCCCCTTCACCAGTCTTAATACTGACTTAACGAGGTAAAAGAGTGCGTCGTCGTCCGGGGATCGAGCATTCTACCTCTGTGTCACCAATGCCCAAAATCTAAGTTACAAGATTTTAATTCTATTTTAGGCTTAAGTCGAATGACTGATACATATTTGAAAAAAAAATTCGAATCTGAAACTTATGCTCGAAAACTCTTACCATTTATCAGGCCAGTCATCACTAGGCGCTATAAATAAAAATAAAATAAATTCTCATTCCCTCATTATTTTAAAAATGTCCTTTATAGAGCTTTACATGTCTTGATGCATTATTCTGAAATGAGTTATGATCCTCTGAATATGACGTAAAACAATTATTGGAATTTTCAAGAGTTAGTTTGCAGAAATTTGATTTGTTTCAAGTGTGGTCACGGATTGATAGCATTTAGAGAAGCATTGGAAATCGAGTGGGAGTCCTGGACAACTGTTTCATCCTAGTTTGCGACTTATAGGCAGTACGCATCCATTTTATGGACAAGTGGTTAAGCTATCGTTAAAATTTATGTTCTTCAAAGAAATGAATGTAGACGAGTATTATTTAGGCATGTTTATAGTTTCCTGTTGATACCCTGATGTAGATCAAACTCACTTTTAGTAAATGGGCCGCTTGAACGGATGCCTTGATGTTACCAAGATTCATAGAGCAGCCAACCCCTAACTTAGTGATAGGGAGGGAAGTGATAGAACATGTTGACCACTTCACCTACTTGGGAAGTTGTATTAGCACCAACGGACTGATTGGCGATGAAATCTCAGCACGGATCCGAAAAGCTCGAGCTGCTTTCGCTGACTTACACCATCTCTGGCGTAGGCGTGACATCCGGTTATCAACCAAGGGACGTGTGTACTGCTCATCAGTTCGCTCCGTCCTTCTCTATGGCTCTGAAACATGGCCAATACGCGTTGAAGACATGAAAAGGTTGACTGCTTTCGATCATAGATGTCTGCGATCTCTGTCTCACGTTAGGTGGTTTCACAAGGTAAGTAATGTTGACGTTAGGCGTAGAGTGTTGGGCAAAGAGGGAAAATCAATCGACGAGGCTATAAAGTTACATAGACTGAGATGGCTAGGTCACGTGCTGCGCATGCCTAACCATCGCCTCCCCCGACGGGCATTGCTAGCTGATATAGGTGAAGGTTGGAAAAGAGCCAGTGGTGGCCAAACAAAAACATGGCCTCATCAATCCATGAAATCCTTGACAGTTAAACTGAATCAGGTAGGGAGATGCAGACTTCCGGGTTGGGGCCCTCGGGACTCTAGGAATCATTGGCTGGAGACAATAGGTGACATGGCTCAAAATCGTTGTCAATGGCGCAGATGCATTCAGTCTCTGTAATCTTTCATATTCCTTTCTACCATTAACCATTCTGTTTCACTCTTATACTTGTCAGACTGTATTGATTCTCTTCACTCATCTTCTTGTCTACCTCTGTGTGGTATTTGGAAGGTGGCAACTCGAACTACTGCACTTCGGTGCCAAGTTCTATGTTGAATCCAGACAGACAGACAGAGCAGCCATGAAGACAGGAGTAAAACAAGGTGGCCGCCTACTATCACCCTTGATATTCTTGATTGCGATGGACTGGAAAGGCGATGGGAAGCGAGAAGAGACGAATGTATTGAAACAACTCTGAAATATTTGAACTTGAGGACGATTTATGTGTAGTGTTACAGGCGAAAACCATCAAGTCAGCTGAGAAAGCAGCAAAGACACGACTTTGGGTAAACGTTAAGAAAACAGAAGTGATTGAGCTAACCAGTATTCAGCAGCAATAACAACAAGTACCAATCACCATCAACGGAAGAAATTTGGAGAAGGTCACTTCTTTCACTTAACTGGGCAGCATACTCTCAACTACAGGCGGCACGGATGAGAATGTCAAAGGCCGGATCGAAAAAGTAAAGCAAACATTCATTACTCTGAGATCAGTGGAGATATCTGCTGCACTCAGCTTAAAGAACAACATTCTGATTTTCGATATGTTTCAAAGACTTGGCGTGTCACCAAAAGCATTTAAAACAATCTGCTTCAGACTTTTATTGACAGCTGCCTGCCTACACTCCATACTGAAGAAAGAATTGGCAAAAAACAACTCTGAACGAATAAACCAAGAACCCCATAGCCCAAGAAAAATTACCAAAGAAGATGGAAATGGATAGGATACACACTGAGAAGATCGTTGAGTGACATCGCACACCATGCCATCGCTCGAGAGGGACTCGAGTGTAAAATGACGAGTTTGGCTTGGGTCCGAGGGTGAAATGAGGGAAATCGTGTGAGGAGGAGGTGAGAACTTATGGAAACAGGATGAAGTGGAGATATGCTGTTGAAGCCCTATGTTCCACTTGAAACTTAAAGCAATCATAATAAAAACAGTACTTAAATATCAATGAGATACTCACTGGCGACTGACCCTATTCAGGTAGGTATTTCCTCGGGGTTCTAGTGGGAAGTCGTGAGGAGTAGGGTGCAGCAGGTGGGGTGTGTGGACAAATACTCGCCGAAGACATTGGCTAGCGGTTGCGCTGTATCGTGAATTGGCAGAAGTTAGAATTCATGTGCCGTTGGATCGGGTCCCAGTGGCTTAATGGTATACGTGCTCGCTTTGTAACCAGAAGGTCCTGGGTTCGAACATTAATGGTGGGTGCGTACTGATGAAGAGTCCCAAACTAGGACGAAACAGCTGTTCAGTACTCCCATCTGGTTTTCCAATGGTTCTTTAACCAATTTCAGCTTATGATGGAATCCTGTAACCAAAAAGCAGTAGAATCTGGCGGCACGTGCCTTTCGTCTTCTTTGAAACTCGTCGACTGAATGTGATGATGCTCTCTCTGTCTCTCTGCGACTTGAACGCTTTGCTATCTGAAGAGATATATGCTAGGTTTCAGCCTCAGTGGAGACAGGAACACTCACTGAGAAATAAGCATATTCAGACAATTAATCGTAAACAGGACGAAAGATGCGTCTCTGACTCTGTTGGTAGTCACCGTCACAAAAGCAGATGAGTACTTTGTATCATTCAGCTGAAACTAGTATATTTAATGTCTATGTGTACGCCAAAGTTTATCCGCATTTCTATACGTGGTTACATTAATTATTAAAGGTTATATTTATATTATAGTTCATATTATATTTATAATATAATTTATTTTATATTTCTATAGATAAATGAATTATCCATTGTACAAATGGCTCAAATAGCCCATATACTCTCAAATATTCAATGTGATCAAACTAATAAATCGAATCGTCCATTGATAAATGAAATTAAATCATTACAATCAGCAATTATTATTCATTTATTGAATAAAACTGATCATTTAACAACACATGATCCAACACTTATTATTCGATTAATTTATGATTTAAGATGGTCATTGACAAAAAGTCATATATGGACTCTATTCGATTCAGTTTATCATAGTCTACTGTTGAATAAGTTACACTGGAATTTATATACTATTTCTTATCTATTATTACATATGAGTAAATTGGAAGTATGCAGACCATCATTGATAAAAAAGTTAGTAGAAAGATTGTTTTCTTTCTTTTTTTGTCTTGATAATTTTTATTGGCTTTTATGTTTATTTTGTTTTGTATTTTTTTATTGTCCTTCTTCAACCTGAAACCAGTATGGAAATCTTTAGCAATAACTCAGCATAAGGAACAAGATTTGCATTATCAACACAAATATGAAGTTGGTTCTTCTATACGGGCGAGAAACTTGCACTGCGTGTCAGTCAGTCACGAAAAGAATTTCCAACAGCCTGTTGCAGACTTTTATCAACAGCTATCACCTTCGTTGGCTCCATACTGATGGCTCTAATGATCAGTCAGAAAGAGTTAGTGACAAGAAACTGTGGGAAAAAATCAACCAAGAGCCGATCGCTCAACAAATATGGAGAAGAAAATGGAGACAGATTTGGCACACATTGAGGAAACCGTCGAATAACATCGCGTGCCAGACCCTTAAGTGGAATCCAAATGGGAAGCGATGAGTGGGTCGTTGATACCAAGGTGATATGGAGGAGATTGTGTGAGGAAGAGATGAGAGAGTTTGGGAAATCGTGAACCCAGTTGAAGAGGAGCGCAGAAAACAGAACACAGTGGAGATGTGTTGTTGAAGCCCTATGTCCCACTTGGAACGCAAGGGAATAATAATAATAACTGACTGACTGACTGGTTTCATCAACATAGAACTTTGCATAGAAGTGCAGTAGTTCGAGTCGCTACACTCCATGTAAGGACACAAAGGAGAGATAATAAGCGGAAATATGAAGGAGAAAGAATGGTAACATGTGAGGACAATAGGATTTACAGAATTGGTGCATGTGCTCCAACAGTCTCCAGCCTTTGTTACTTAGTATCCCGAGGATGCCATCCAGGCAAAGCAGTCAGTAATCACTAGGTTACTAATTGGCTTCATTAAGTCCCATAACTCTCAATTTGTTGACTGTCATATCTGAAGGTGAGAGTGGCCTTAATTCTGCCGCTAATTCAGACATTGTTCTGTCAGCAAGATAATGGATGATAATTGACATATATTTATGATTAGAACATTTTAAGAATATCTGTGTTCAATGTGTCATGATTTTCTATCCCAGTTTTTAATCATTCATAGTTTAATGTGCGTAGAATATTCACTTTCAAAAACTTCTTTGTTCATACACACAATAAAGCAATAAACAAAAATGAGTTCAAAATTGTATATAATTGTATCTATCAATTGAAGTGTTCCTGTATTAAAGCCAGTTATATTCGTCGTTGCTCTACGAACGTAATTTTCTGTGCTTGGGAACACCTATCAGTCTGTGGCTAAATAAAGGTGTAGTTAAACCCATTAGCAGTTCTATATTAACTGATTAAAAATCCCTATTGAGATTTTCCAATAGAATGGTTACTGAACAAAGAATATTCTTTTCAATAACCCCTTCTTTATCAGGTTCAACATTTATATATACATAATAGTGAATGAATTAGTGTTAATAACAACATTAATGTTGTTAAAATAACATCGAATCAATAATAATTATTATATCAGTGGATTACAGTTCGACAGTATCAACATAACAATACCCTGAATATCAGAGAAATTAGGGAAAATAATAATACAAATTCATGAATTTATTGTCTTCACTGAAGACTGGCCAGGGTAGTAGTAGTAGTAGTGCTTGGACTTGCTTTTTCTGCACACAGAGCACCGGTTGTTCAAGGCGAATCGCGATAGCCTCAGCTGTTTGGAGTATGTGGTAGTTTATTTGGCACCCGGTCGATGATAGAGAAAAATTCGTCAATTCTGGCTTTGTGGCCGGTTTGAACCAGGTGGTCTAATATCGAACTGTGAATAGCTTTTACTACGGTTTTACTTAGCCACACTGGTAGATGTTCCCGAGCACGAATTATGTATTAGATCACCTAGTCTAAACAGGCCACAAAATTAGGCACGTTGAGGAGTCTTTCTTTATCATATATATGGCGCCTCTAAATACCAAATACTTCAAACATCAGACACCGTTACTATTCACTTAAAACAGCCGGAACTCTGATTGTAAAAGAAACAAGTCTGCAATGAATAGTGTTCTCTGAGCTGGTTAGTTTAGTTGCGGAGCTTTCGTCGTCCACTTTCTGGACAACATCTTCAGTGCAATATTTAGCATAAAGTGAAATGATTTAAATTTAATGCAAACCGAAAGATCCAACAGAGAAAGGAGATAAAATTAATACCATTTACAAGATAAATTCTATGAACTGTAACAGGCATTACATCGGCCAAAGTGGGCGTCCCTTTCGAATCAGACTCCAGGAACACAAATCAGCCGTGAAAAGACACGATATATATATTTTTTCATATCAATGTACATAGACAATTATGGACATCAGTTTGATTGGGATGATGTCGAAATCTTGGACAAAGGAAACACCAAAAGCGCCAGGGAATTCCTAGAAGCCTGGTACTCAAACAAACACGTTAATATAGACTAAATATACCAACTAATAAAAAGTAAATCATGTGACGAGAAAGTTTAAAATCCAAGTCAATAGAAAGTGGTCAAGTGGTTACCGGGAGACGCAATCATATCACTCATGACGAAATTTAAATCATTTCACTTTATGGTAAAAATTGCACTGAAGATGTTGTCCAGAAGGAGGACGATGAAAGCTCCGCAACTAAACCAACCAGCTCAGAGAACACTATTAATTGCAAATCATCCACCTGAGCTACAAATCTTCTCTATTATTTCAGAAACAAGTCTAGCCAGTATTTCTACACTGGTCTACTGAAGAATCTATAAATCCATAGAATCCATGTTACCTTCCTTAATATATCTATTATTTAGTCAGTTTCACATTATTTTAATGCATGGTGTCTCTTACTGATGCTTTTGAAAGGTAGTCACACGTTGATACTATTGATTCAATTTAATTTAAAACATTAATGGTTTACGGGCTCGTCTTCTAATCAGAAGGTCCTGGATTTGAACCCCGGAGGGTGCGTACTGCTGTAGAACAGTCCCAAACTAGGACGAAACAGTTGGCTATCCAGTACTCTCAGGTCTCTCAATAATTCTCTAACTGATGTCAGCTCATAATGAAATCCTCCAACCAATTAAACAATATCCCGATAAAGAAGTTATCGAAAAGAATATTCTTTGTTCAGAAATCAGTCTTTTTAAAATCGGTTTGAATAATTTCTTGTTTTTTTACTTAAATTAGCTCTTTTTACACCCTCTCCTTCTCTCACTTTCATTTATATTTTAGTTGTTTAAATAAAATATCCCGTAAATTAAGAATATCTAAATACCATCTTGCAGTGAATCAATGTCAATGGGTGAATGCTATGCTTTCAGCACTGGCTAACAGTACAATTAGTTTTTATAGTTTTGAAAAGAATTCCAATGAAGTCGAGGAGTTACAATGCTTTATTCAACCACCGTATATTGATCCATCCTGCAGGAATAGTAATAATAGAAGAATACTCCATGAAAATTTACTTGATATTCATAAAGTCTTCACTGCTGATTGGGTCCAGGAGTTGTTCAATGCTATTTTACAGCATGCTGCAAGTCAACAAATTCTTGATTATAATTCGTTGAAGTGTTTAGGCCAACTTATTTATTCCCTGTCCTTATTTGGTTATAAAGCAGATTTACTTATTGAACAGTATGATGATGCTGAGAAACAGCTGAACAATAGCACTACTACTACTACTACGACTAATACTACTTCTGTTTCTACTCAACCTCCATTTATTAATATAGCCAAGTGTTTGACTACTCCATTATCTAAAACCAGCAGTGAAGAGGAGAGTAAGTTTAGCGCGTATTTGAGTGGTTTTACTAAATTAAATTATGGAATATCTGTTTAGTCTTTTGGTCTTCTACTACTGATCCAATACAGATCCTGGACGAGCCTAGGTTTGTAGGTCGGTGCCACAGCGGTTATGACACTCGCCGATCATTCACATGGTCCGGGGTTCGATCCCCTGACGACGCACACCCGATATCTATGGTGGGTGTGCAATTTGGGCTACCAATATCTCATGTTGAAAATTTCATACATATACCGAAAATACGGTGTGGAATCAAGCTGTAATAAAAAATAGATATATTTAATTATTTATTGTAGTATATCATTGGTTCAACGGTAAAGTGGCTTTCCAAACACGCTCATGGTTTGGGTTCGATTCCCGACTGACGCCTAGTTTACTAGACAACAGTAATTCTGAAAAAGAAGGAGAGTGAGGTTAGCAACCCTAGACCGCGAAAAGCAAACAACAACAACACTATTGACACTGAAACTCTGAAAGCTTGAAACCCTATTTTCCACTCGGGAGGCAGAAAATGGAAGGAATTGTGTATTCGGTATTTATTTTGTAAGTTAGTTACTGAATAAATGTGCGAAATGGAATCGTTGTAAACGCCCTCGCAATCAACTGCAAAAATCAGTCAAAAATAGCAAAAACAATCACTACTGAGCAACTAATGTCATGTGTCTAACTCTCAGTGTCGGTGGTGATCGAATCTAATGTTCACTGGTGACTGACTGCTAAATTAAGTTGTCTGGAAATGTAGTAAAAAGCCGTGACTAGTAGGGTCTACCACATTGAGTGTAAGAAGAAATACTTGTTGATGATATCGGGTGGAGGGGTGGTGGTATATACCACGAATAGGCGGAAGTTAGAATTGATGTGTTGTTCGATTCCGTCCCAGTGGTAGAACGGTCAACGAGATCCCCTTGTAACCTGAGGGTCATCCATTCGATTTATTATCCATCTTTCGAACCTCCATTTACTCTCTTCTGGTGATTTGTGCGGTACATTAAGGGAGTGTGGCAACTGGAACTGCTGCACATCTGTGCAAAGTTTTATGTTGAAACTTTTCAGTCATGGTCTAATTTGTATTTTATCAATCAACTTTGCGACCTGATCTGCAGGGCTTTTGTAACCTCATTTAGGGACGGAGGATCATTGTCTCTGTCATTCATGGAGATTTTGGATGCTAGGTAAGTTGAGCGTGGCTGTAGGCCGATCAAACGTGCATAGTCAATACATGTTCGTAGCTTGGGGATGCCAAGTTTTACAAGTGTACAACATATCTTTACTCACTGATGTATTGTAAATCGTGCCTTCGACTGCCAAAATGACATCATGGAGGCTTTTACTACACTTTTTAAAATTTCATCCATCACACTTTTGCCAGCAGTTGACTTTCCCAAGATAGTGACAACGTTTTCATGAGCTTACAATTCCAGAAGTATTCACATAACTAGTTCATTTTGTAAATAAAAAAATCATTTGCTTTATTGATGAATTTTAATGAGTAGTTAGTATTGTCCTTTAAAATCGTTGGCTTAGTATTTGTAAAAGTTATTTAATATCATCAAATGACTAATATATTTTGTTTCACCATAACTTCCAAAGCTTAGAAACATTATGTAATAACCACATGGAGATACACGAACAATCAGACCATAATTGAGCCAAACATTCGATGCATCTATTAAGACTGATATTCTTTACCAAACAAATGAATCGGTAGGCACATTTGATAGTAATGCTTAACGGCATATATCTTAGACCCAGTGTTACTGCCGTGGATTCTCACATACGAGGCTGGATCACAGTTTATCTGGTCAGTAATTGCTCACCACCATTTCTATCTGTCAGGACATTTAAAATTATAGCATCACACTTTGCTAACTGATGACTTTTCGGATTTCAGATAACTTCTCAACTTTCCATTTAGACTGTATTTGTACAGTGTGTGTGTGTGTGTGTGTGTGTAGATATGAGTCATTTAGATTGTTTCTTAAAGTGTCCTCTCAAAACTTGCTTAGACAATTTGAATAATCTATCGATCGAAGTAATTAAATAGTATATGTGTATATATATCACTAATAAATGTTCATTTCGTTTCATAGAATCATCTGTATTGTGGATTCCACGTACGGATTGGCAATTCTACTATCTTTGTGGTCTTGGACTTATAGAAAGGTCGGTTGTACTATAAAAATTAAAATAGATTGATATTTATAATTTTTTTTAAAAGAAAAGATCTATTATTTACTTATTTAACCCGAATTTCATTATGGGTAAAATTTGTTTTGATAAAGTCTCACTGTGTTATACAGTAATGTTTAATGGTGACCACGTTTTGAGCACAATTTATTAATGCTCATAATCATATCAAGGTACTCACACAACTTTCTAACTTTATTTATATAAATCGATTATTTTTCATTGCTTGATTTGATTGGTATTAGTATTCTCCATATTTCCGGTATGAGTGATGAGTCATTCCTATTGCATGTGTTGGGTGTAGACTCGATGAACCAGGATTCAGTAACCAACCTCTCTCTCCACCTATTTAGATTACTTTTTAGAATTTTAACCCTCTCCCATCCTATTGTGTGGTTGTGTTAATGCATTTAGTGCGATCGCTTAGCTTTCTTGCCTTAGCTAAATTCTTATGTTCCGACAATCTGACTACCCCTGACCTACTAGTTTGACCTATATAGTTGACCTCACTCACAGTCGTTGCAAGGTATTTTGTAAATTATATTATTTTGTTTAATTGGGTCAACCGACAAGGGTCCTTTAACCTACAGAGCTTTCCCTGAGTGAGTTTGTAGGTTTAAATGCCACTCTAATTCCTGCTTTGTTAAGAATCCTACATAGGGCCTCGGATGTCCCCTCCTTATATGGTATAACAGTGGATGACTTATATTCACTCTTATTTATGTTATCATTACTAGTTTGATAATTATTTTTATTTTGTTTTTGGTTTTTACTGATCTTCCTAATGAATTTTATAGGGCAGTTATTTGATACCAACGCAAATCAACACTCGAAAATTAATTTAGTACTTACTACTGACTGACTACAAAATAAAGTCGTCTGGAGTTCTAGTGAATAGTCGTGACTGGTCAGGTGCACCATGTCACGTGTAAGAAAAACCTTTTGGCCGATGACATTAACTGGCAGTTGCGGTATATATCGGGAACGGCAGAAGTTGAAATTGATACGTCAATGGATTGCGTCCTAATGTTTGGATGGTCAATAAGGTCACGTTGTGTAACCTAAAGATCCAGGAATCGATCTAAAACTGGGATGAGAAACTGTTTTCTAGTACTTCATAGTTTTCCAGTGATTCTTTAACTGAAATCAATTCGTGATTAACCTTGAAGACAATCAATTCCTTGCAAACTAGCACTTAGAAATCACCATTGTTAGATTTTCTTCACGTCAGTTAGATAGATCATTGAAAATCAGGGAGTACTGGACAGGCGTTCCGTCCTACAACCCATGACCCCACCAGGGGATTGAACCTGACACATTCAGATTGCCAGAATATCATGGAATTTAATTATCCTTGGATTTACAACTAAGCATATAACTTACCGAGTATTTCACACTCCCAACACCTTCATTATAAGCGTAAAACCATTATAAAAAGTATATATAAGTATGGATCGTGTACATACTGATATTGATTGTATCTAGGGGTTTTTTAAATTATCCCTTCTATCTGACATAGCTCTTTCTCTCTCTTGTACATTCATACTTTCATTACACACACTATTGAAGATAATCTTAATATCTTTTGAGCAATTTTTTTGAAAGGGAAGTTCTTCTCTTGAGTATATCGAACGGAAAAGGAATTGATTTTACGTTACTATAGAGTTCACGAAATGGCTGCTTCTATGGAGGTCACACACTTTCCAACAGTCTGACTGCTACAGCTATACTGTTGTAGTGTAAGTTAGGAGGTATAATTTTCTAAATCCCCTCTTTCTCAGAATAGAAAGTGAATATACCTGGTTTTTCTATTCATCCAAGGGTAACGCTTTAATGTCACCAAAACCTATCGCCTTTAAACATTCACCAAAGTACTTTATTTGATCACTGGGTAGTAAGGAATGTGTCTAGTCTCTCGGTTGGTGCAGACTGATTTCTATCAGTCAAGTTTGCGGTGTGGCCACCGTACCAGGTGACTCACCATCATGGTACACACTGAATCGGTATTGGGTGGTGGTTGGAAGTAATCGACAGGAAGGCCTGTACCTAGGTTTCATGCTTCTTCGCACTCATCAGCAAGGAGTATCTGTAATCCCCGAGGGACTCATATCCCTTCTAAGATCCGGACCTTCATCACTCAATTCTGCAGTCAGAGACATTACCACTGAGCTATTGAAGCTTGCGTACCCATCAAAATTTTACAGGAGGTTGGTCGCAAGCCTGAAAAGTCTCAGTGCAGTGATAATGTCTCTGACTGAAACACTGGGTGACACAGGTTAGAATTTCAGAGAAAACATGATTTCTTTCAAGATTGTACGTACTCCTTGCTGACTGGTTAGTGCCAGCTAGCACAATAACTAGGTCGAGGCCTTCCTACTGATTCCCTCCAATCATCTAACTCACTAGAGTGTAATAAACACAACACAAAAAGGGAAATCAATGCGTGTAGTCCCTTTTACCCCCAATAAAGTTGTCACTAATAATCTATGCTTATCTATGTTATTTCACTTTATGATTCGTCAATTTTGTTTGAAATTCTATCTTTGATTTTTAGTAATACAATCAATGATCCTCTACTCTCTATGTACATATCATTAAAACAAAGAAATATAGACAAATTATGTCGAAAATTTTATGAAGTTAAAGAAGAATTACGAAATTTCACTTTACTACCATTTCAGTTTATTCAATTTCCTAATAACAATGATTGTGATAATAATAATAATAATAATAATAATAATAATAATAATAATAGTACTACCAATAAGAGTACATACTTTGCAGGTTAGTCTTATCAACTGATTAATTTTCATTGCAATTTATTAATATTTTTGCTTTATTTTTCTTTGAAATCTATTTTCTTCTATTAAAAAAGTTTTGTGTCCGTACGCAGGAATTTGATTGACTCCAGGGTCAGATCATGAGTTAACTTCAGTTGAAGAAGCCATTGAAAACCAGCAGAAAATACTGGAAAACTGTTTCCATCTAGTTTGAGAATTTTCAGGAGTATGCACTCATGAATGCATCGGCAATCTCACTCAAGACCTTCAGGTTATTAGGCGATTCCGTCAACCATTCTTGCCACTGAGATATGAAATCTAATCTCACATGAATTCACAATACATAACGTCACTTTAGCGAGTATTTGTCAAAGACTGTGGAGTTCTATGGTCTTATATTTTTTAAATGAATTTTCTGGAATTATTATTTTGACTTTTAGTTAAGAAAGAGTTAAAAAAAATAGTCATCGACTATATGCAATTTCATATATTAGGTTATAAGTTACACGGAGTGTATGAAAACTGGTATTATCTACAAGGAGAGGGTCGTATAAAGACGAGATGAAAGCTTATGGGCAATCGTGGAGCCACCAGCTGAAAAGGACTGCAGAAAACAAAATGAAATGAGGATGTGCTGTTGTAGCCTTATATGCCACTCATAGGCTTCTGCGTCCCTATCTCTCCCGTGTTAAGTGGTATAGTAAGGTAAACAGTATTGAGGTCAGGCATCGGTCAAGTGCTAGGTAAAGAAGGGAAGTTACCGATTCAGATGGTTAGGACATGTGTTACGCATAAATGACTAACCGTCGCCTTTCCTCGACCGATGCTCAGTGTTAGCCACTGAAATACAATCAGGTTGAAAAAGAGAGAGCTAGTGGTGGTCAAACCAAAACATAACTTCATGAGTCAATGAAATCCATAACAGTTGGCTTAAGCTAGTAACGTAGGGAGGTGTATACTGGCTTCCTGGTTGGTTGGGGTCCTTAAAATGGTAAAAACCAATGAAGGCTGGAGACAATTGGTGATATAACTCGAAATCTTCGTTCTCGGTGATGGAACAGATGCATCAGTTCCTTGTGACTTATGATATCCAATAACATTCTATTGTTTTTTCCCATAATACTGTTCTTTTTGCCTCACACTTTTGTCTATTATCTGTCTTTCGAACCTCCGTTTACTGTCTTCTGTCGCTATGTATGTTACGTGGAGGGAGTGTGGCAACTGGAACTGTTACACTTCTGTGCAAATTTCTATGTTGAAATCAGTCAGTCAGTTTGTTCCACCAGGAACCCAAGGGAATAATAATAATTTTCTGTTGACTTACAAACATCTTGTTTTAATTAGTAGAATTTAGGTTTTCCTTTAGACAACTCCTTAGTGCAAAGTTGAAATACTTAAGTTAACTCCTTAAGTAGCTTAAAAGTAATTCTAGAATCATGTAAACATAGATATGGAAAACATTATTTTAATTTAATGTTAAAAACAAAAAAAGTGTATTGTTTTATCACAGAGAAAATCTTCTTTCAAAAGTTCACACTATTAGCCAGCATGTTTTCAATGAATTACATGCTTATAAATTGACTATCAACTGAATGATATCCTGAGAAAAATAACCTTCCTGAGTGGTCAACATTTATTCGCATACATTTGTTAAAGATTATCAAATTAATACGAAAAGTTTGTAAATAATCTGTAGAAAAGCAACTTGTCTAATGTTGTCATTTAATTGATTATGGCGAGTAGTAGAGCAGTAGAATTGTTGGTCAGTGGCACAGCGGTTAGGACTCTCACCGATCATGCACATGGTCTGGTTTTCGATCGCCTGCTGACTCACACCTAATATCAATGATTGGCCTGCGAAATTCGGGCTACCGATATCATATGCTGAAAATTCCATTCTCGTACCAAAATATACAGTGTGGAATCAAGCTGTAATCAAAAATAAAAATATTTCGAACTCACCAACTTGATGTGTTTTGATCCCCAGTGAATGAATGATAGTGTTCCCAGAAAGACTCGAACCCTAAAAAGTCAAAGCATTATCTACTAGGTTTAATCATATGCGGTAGTCTTGAAAAAAACAATTATTGGTTACACAAAACAATGCTATTCACAAGGAGATATGCTTTAAAAAAAAGTAATCAACTGATCTTCTTAGGTAGGAAAACAACTTACGATGAGCATAAGATTTTTCGTTGTGATGAAATTAACACAGGAAATTTCTAATTCCTATAGAATTTTTAGATGTGTCAACTCTAATCGAATACCCTTGATATGTTCTCGTGATTGTGTGGTGTAGAGTAGATTATTAATACTCCGGTTAACAGTTTTGATGAGTCTGCTTTCATTCTATCTGCTCTCACAGACATCTAACACTACTGTATCATATCTTCTCATTTCTTCTGGAATGCGAGCAGCCTTCTTAGCTTTAAACATGGTGTAGACATTCCATATCCCCATCAGGGAGTGATAGGTACCTGTTTTGTCGTATTCTGGGAATTTCCAGCAGTACATACTCATGACCCCACCAGGGATTGAACCCCAGGACGCTGAGGTTACGAGGTGAGTTCGTCGACCATTCAGCTGCTACTGAGATGGAACCCAATGGTACATGAACCTTAACTTTTACCAATTCACGATCATAACGAGAATATATTTGATTTAAATAATTCTCCTGTTCTATTATATGTATTTTTTACTTTTCATTTTAGATATCCTGTTTAAAACAAGGCCGAACAAGAATACAGGTAATTGTTTAGTTCGTTTCTCAACTTTGCCTTCATATTTTTTTGGTGTATGAAAGGATCGATCTGTCTTCTCCAATTGTCTTTTGTTTTATAAAATAACGATGATTATATTAGTTGAAACGATGATTGTTTTTCAGGATTTCATCATGAACTGACATCGGTTAGAAGATTATTGAAAAACCTGCAGGGAGTACTGGACAGTTGTTTCGTCTTAGGCTGGGACTCTTCATCAGTATGCACCCACTGAGGATCGAACTCAGGATCTCCTGGTTACAAGGCGAGCTCGGGGAGGATGATGGAAGTGGGGATTTTCGACAGACGAGTATTTTTTACGAGAAAATTGATACCTATGCGTAAAACATACTCTTGACAATTACAACTAGGAATAGGTGTCGAAATGTACATCACAATCCTTCGAAATTCCCACAGATCCATTCACAGGTAAATAACGAACAAGTAAGTGTCAACTACTGGCGCATCACAAAGGACACTTCAAACAAACTACAGACTTTCATCAACAGCTGTCTTCGCTGAATACTCGTGATCAGATGACCAGGAAAGATCAGCAACAGGGATCTCTGGGAGCAAACCAACCCAGCAGGAACCAACTGTGAAACAAATATGGAGGAAGAAATGGAGGTGAATTGGGAATGCTCTGAGAAAACCGTCAAGTGAAATAACACGCCAGGCTCTCGGGCAGAACTTGAATGGGAAGCGAGGAGTTGGTCGTCAGTGCGAGGGTAACATGGAGGAGGTCATGTGAAGAAGAGGAGATGAAAGCATGCAGACAGATGCAGAGTTAGGTGAAAACGTTGGTGGAGACGTGAGGCTGAAGCCCTATGTTCCTCTAGGAACTAAAGGAAACAATCATAATGATAACTGTTAACTACTAATCAAATATTGATTTTAGCATATGAGTTATATTCATTATCTATTGTTTCTTCTTCTCTAGGTAAAAGTAGATATGCGATATGCATTGTTCATCAAGAACGGGATATTATTGTCAAAGGTCCATTACTTTCACTTGTGAATTTTTATTACCAAACTCAGCGTCTACCTGTTCTTATGGTAAGGCGGAATTTCCTGCATAGTTTATTATTATTATTATTTGTTTCACTTTATTTATTCTATCATTCTCGATTCTCTTCATGACTTGCTTTGTAGATTAAAGACCTGGTATTATTGGTTTTAGATGGTTGGAGGCAATCGGTCACAGGAAGCCTTGAATAGCCCAGGTTTCGTGTTAGTTGGCACTCACTAGTCAGCAAGGCATATCTGTAACCTTAAAGGAACTCATGTCTCTTCTGAGATTTCAACCCGTGTTACCCAGTGCAGTGCTGCAGTCAGAGACAACATTACACCACTAAGCTATCCAGGCTTGCAATTGACCTTCTGTAAGACTGACTGGACAGTAGTCAGTAATCAGTGTAATGTGTATGCCTAGTCTTATCTTTGGCGCAGACTGAATTCGATCAGTAAAGTTTGCAATATGGTAGAATTCAGTCTGCATCAAAGATAGGACTAGACACACAGATTACACTAGTCACTGACTAGTGTCTAGTCAAAAGGAAAACAACTTAGGAATAGGTACTACTACTATGGTGTTTGTGCACGTATTCTTTTAATCTGCACAGTATATTCTTTGCCTGTCGCTTTGGTACATTCGGTTAGCTCGACCTAAGTATATGTCTGGTTAGCTGTAGGCAAACTTGTAGATACAGTATGAGATAGAGTCAATGTAGAACTTTATTCTTTAATTGTAGTCACTGTAAGGGGAAATAGCTGTGATGTTAGAAAAAAATGTATACAGTCAGCTGATATAAAACCTCACGTAAAACCTCTTCATTCTCCGAGTGTTTCTGCTACATGTTTTATTTAGTAAAAGTTGGTTAAATGCTCAATAGTTTATGATTAATGAAAGGAATTTTCATTTGCCCTCTTGTACATGAAAGTTAGTAAAATGTGGTGCTGTTCTTTTACAGAGGTGGCGGGGAAATTCCTAGCCTCATGTGCAATCTTCCCTCTTTTCTGGGTTTACCACCGGTTATCAAAAGTGTGCTAACATGGAATCGAACCCGCACTTACCATATGGCTGACGAGTATTCTTCTATCATTCAACCACCAATGCACTAAGCTGCTTGCTGGCGATGGAACTCAAACACAAACAGAGGGATACACCCTCAAAGAATCCTATGACCACCGCTTTACCATTCAAATACCTCAACCCTGTATATAATTACTTTATTGCTTGTTAATTAATTGTTAAAATAGTAGGGATTTATTTATTTATTTAAACGCATAAAAAACTTGATACAATATGGCACCAAGAAGAATGCGCCACACAATAATAATAAAACAACATAGATCAAAAGAAGAAAAAGAAAGAAGAGAAAATATATATATATAAGTAGAGAACGGATAAAGAACTTCATCTGGAAGGAAGACAGTCATGCTTAACAAGTTCAAACAGTGTTCGTTAACTATCATCGAGAAGGGGAGAAAGAAGGAAATCGCAACACATTCGCCATTGATTACGATTCTTGGCCATATCCGATAACGTTTCGAGCCATCGATTTGAGCTATCTCTCGGACCCCAACCAGGGAGTCGTGACACACCAACCGATGCTAATCTAGCACAAACATCCTTCATCCCACGACGCCACGTCAATGACTGACCACTTCTTCGCCTTTTCCATCCCGTCCCAGGGCTAGCGAACAGAGACCTGTACGGAAGCCTCTGGGATGACATTCGCAGCACATGTCCAAGCCACCAGAACCGGTGTTTCCAGATGACGACACTCAATGAATGGTGATCTCCACTGTGTTCAAACACACGCCGCCGAACCTCAGAATTACTCACGCGATGATGCCATCGAACGCAAGCAATCCTGCGGAGACAGCGGTGATCGAACACGCAGAGTCGCCGACCATCCTCAGCTCGGAGAGGCCAGGTTTCACAGGCGTATCGCAGCGCAGCCCGCACCGAAGCATTGTATACCCGACCTTTGACAGCCAGGCTAACGTCGCGACGGCGCCATAGGTGGCTCAAGTTGATGTATGCCACCCTAGCCTTCATTATACGGTTGGAAATCTCATCCGTCACCCCTCCGCCAGCACTCACACAACTACCCAGGTACACAAACTTATCAACAACTTCAAGCGGTTCACCCGCAAGAGTGAGTGCAGGTACAGGCTCCTGCCAATCTTGTAACAGTACTTTGCACTTAGACGGCGCAAAGCACATACCATACTTACAGACACTGATCGCCAACTGATTAAGTGCGATTTGTGCAGCCTGCATGCTATCGCACAGTAAGACGATATCGTCTGCATACTCGAGGTCGAAAAGTCTATCTCCAGGTAGCAGATCTACACCCCCTTCACGCACATCCTTCAGAGCTGACTCCAGAATGTCATCGATGGCAAAGTTAAAGAGAAATGGAGAGATTGGGCAACCCTGTCTAACCCCACTGTTGGTTGGGAACAGTGGTGATAGTTGGTTGTATGCCCTCACTCTACCTGAGGTGTTTCTGTATAGGGCTTTCAAGATGTTAACAAATTTCTCAGGTACACCTCTCTCTAACAGACAGTTCCAGAGCACAGTTCTGTCCAACGAATCGAAGGCAGCCCTAATATCAAGAAACACAACGATCGTTGGCCTGCAATACGTGTGGCGGTGTTCCAACAACTGACGAAGGGTGAACACATGATCAATGCATCCACGACCTGAACGAAACCCAGCCTGCTCTTCGCGAATCAATCCTTCACGTATTTTGCACAGTCTGCGAAGCAAGACAGCAGCCAATATTTTAGACGCGACTGGTAACAGACTGATACCCCTATGATTGTCACACGAATTACGTCGACCCTTTTTAAAGATGGGGACGATAATGGCTTCGTTCCACATTGATGGTACACTCTCTGTCTCCCACACCTTCCTGAACAACCCAGTTAGAGCCATTGTGAGAGTCTCGCCACCATCTTTAAAAAGAGCCGGGGGTAAATTGTCTGGGCCGGGCGCCTTATGGCGTTTCAGTACTTGGAGTTCCTTACGGACCTCCGCTTCGGTGGGTGGGTCGGTACTAACCGACCAAGGAGCACTCGGGCTAATGATAGTAGACACTGAAGCTGGTGGCCAGCTAAACTGCTTCCCGAAGTGCTCTGCCCAGCGTTCCAGGCGTCTTTTCAAGCTGGTAATTGGCGTGCCATCTGCCTCACAGACCGTCTCGCTGACACCTTGTTTCTTGCCACCGGTGGCTCAGATGAGTTGGAACAGCTTCCGACTGTTGCCAGATGCAGCAGCTGACTCCATCTCACACGCACGTTCTGACCACCAGGCTTCGCGGTCCTTACGTAAACACTGTCTAATCTTGCGCGTGAGCGCCTTTCGCTTATTGTTGTATTCGCTGCCAGCCGGAATGGGCCGGCGTTCATCCCGGAGTTGCAAGGAACTCGCAGAAACCCAGTGGTTTTTAGCGGAGCATTCTTTCAAGCCGCAAGTGGCTACACTCGCCTTTTGCATGGCACCTTGCACATGAAGCCAATGTTCATCTGTACTACTTGGGGGGTTGCTGGCAAGCATTGTTTTTAACTCATTCTGATATTTCAAAGAATTAGCAGGTCCTACTAGTTTGCTCACATCAACGCTTAGACAACGGCTTTTACGAACCCCACCAAATCCCAAGACGAACTTGGCACACACTAACGCATGATCGGAGTCCAGGCATGTGCTCCAGAAGGAGCGACAGTCTTGTATGCATCCTCGCCACCGGAAACTGACCGCGATATGATCAATCTGAGTCCAAGCTTGCTTCGCAGAGGGAGGACGCCAGGTAGCGCTACGGCGATGGCTGTCCCGGAAGTTGGTGCTGGCTAGGAATAGGTTGTGATCCGCGCAAAGCTGCAGAAGACGGTCCCCATTATCTGACCTGCGACCATGTAGTCCCCACTGACCACCTAGACGATTCTCCTCTGAGCTTAGACGCCCCACCTGTGCATTCAAGTCCCCAGCCAGCAGCACGATATCCCTCCGACCCGCCTGTTTCAAGGGTGTTATAACGGTAGGGAATTGAATGAAGACGTTTTCACCTTGCTCTGTCTGCGCCTGAACTAATCTGCCTATCTGCTTGTCGTACCTTCCGATTTAGTAAAGCACGCAAATATCAAAAGACAAAGGCTGGACTGTGACTGTGTATTGAAGTGCAACAACGACAAAGAAAGCCATGGTATTTATACATTTTGCAACAATATGGACAGCTAACAGCATTTGAAATAATTTATCTTAATAGCCAATAACAAAGTGCGTGAGAGATGATAATATACCATATATGCGAGATTGACAGTCAATAACAAAATGTGTGGGAATGATAATATACCATGTATGCAAGATTAAACAGTCAATACCAAAATATGTGGGATCCTATCACCTCCCCCGTAAAGAGTGTAGGACTTGCTTTTTGGATCTATTTGAAAAGGTTTCGGAGCTCTTCTTTGTCGAGTTGACCTTTGCGTGGTACTGGATAGAGCGTGATCTGTGTGTCTGACACATAACTGTCCTTTTTCATTCGTACGATAATGCAGCAAGAATTTATCCAAAATTTCTTCTGTTGTTCCCTCCCCCTTCGCTTTTGCATAAGCACGCTTAAAGGTGTCGACGAAACGTTCAGTCTGTCCATTCGATTGGGGATGATACGGGGGGCTACGAATATGCTGGATGCCAAACAGTTTGCAGCAACCAAGTTTGTCCTGGAAGACAGAAGCGTGCTTTTGACGACGGCGTTGCAAGAGAGATTGATCAGATACATCTCCGGGAACAACGTTGTGTGGTGAAGACGAAACATTAGAGCATACTGAATTTAATGGTACATTAAAGATATGGAGCTTGTCTAACCAGTCAAGACCAAGCAAATTCAAATCATGGTAGTTTGTAACGTAACATACACCATTGAAGTGATGCTCACCAAACTGAACCTGGCAATTTATCTCACCCACGAGTTTCAGTATATCTCCAGAGACATTCTTGGCGACATGCTCGGTCGGCAGAATCTGTGGGCAACCAAGTTTGCGCCACGTAGTTCGGGAAATTACGGTGATATCTGATGCCGTATCCAACTGAAGACGAATACGTTTGCCGTTAATATCTAGTGTTATGTACTTACGTTTGCTGGCGAACTCGACTTTGGAAGTAGTGAAAACGGTCTGTACTCGAGGAGATTGTTTCGGCTTGAAACGACTACTTCTGTTCCTCACCGAAGGATTTTTCTGCGGTGGACAGTAACCCTCCTTATGTCCAAAACGGTGACAATTACGGCATTTATGTTTCTTGAAAGGACAGAACTTGACAAAATGCCACGAACCACAGTGCCAGCACACTGAAGGAGGTTTAGCTGAATTCTGAGACTGACGTGCTGTGTGCTTAACGGTGATCGGAGGACTTTTCACTGTGTTAATTGAACCAAATTCAGACGACTGTCGTTTGCACTCCACCATAGCAGTATCGTGCTTCAAGTTGATTAAACGTAGGCATTCTGCTGTCACCATTTGTAAAGTCATTTTCGGGTCTTGTTCCACGAGTGACAGAAGTCGAGTTCGTATGTCAGTATCTTCTGGGTTCTTCAACCCACAAATAAAAATCAAACACTTGAACTGATCTGATGTCATTTCGTGTGGTTTGAACCTTTCACATTCCTTGTTCACTTTGCCAGCGTAAGTCACATAATCATCGGAAGGCATTTTTGTCAACTGAAAACATTGATACCGAATATTAAACATGGATGACTGTTCACCAAAGATTTGTGATAAAACGGTGACTGTCTCATCGAATGATAACTCACGTGGGTTCTTGGGCAGAATGAAGTTAACATATCTGTTGTGCTCAACAGTACCAAGTTTTCTTAGTAACAATCGGACTTTGGCAGCATCATCAAACATGTAGCATTCAATACGGAAGACGTCTTCGTAACGATTGAACCATGCATCAAATACGAGACCAGATATTGGGTCGTAGTTGAACTCACTGATGGAATTTGAGATGCTTTCATATTTGTCTGAATGAGATGTTGATGGAACTTGAATGGACAGCTTCTGAGTGAGAGCTTCGATTAATTTTAGTTGAGCTGCTTCATTCTGAACCTGCTGCTGCTGCAAGATAGATTTGAGATCGTCCAGAGAGATAGACATTGTAATTGGGTTGTAATTAACACAGTCAAAAATGTTATATAGCTGCGCTGAACAGAATAAAAACTGTCGTCGTTTGCTTGCTATAACTGCAATGAATTAAGGTAAAACCCCGTCGCCAATTTGTTATAACTGTAGGGAATTGAATGAAGACGTTTTCACCTTGCTCTGTCTGCGCCTGAACTAATCTGCCTATCTGCTTGTCGTACCTTCCGATTTAGTAAAGCACGCAAATATCAAAAGACAAAGGCTGGACTGTGACTGTGTATTGAAGTGCAACAACGACAAAGAAAGCCATGGTATTTATACATTTTACAACAATATGGACAGCTAACAGCATTTGAAATAATTTATCTTAATAGCCAATAACAAAGTGCGTGAGAGATGATAATATACCATATGTGCGAGATTGACAGTCAATAACAAAATGTGTGGGAATGATAATATACCATATATACAAGATTAACAGTCACTACCAAAATGTGTGAGAATGATAATATACCATATATACAAGATTAACAGTAAATACCAAAATGTGTGAGAATGATAACATACCATATATGCAAGATTAAACAGTCAATACCAAAATATGTGGGATCCTATCAAAAGGATCGCCCAGTTGGTAGTGAAACGCATCCTTCATTGCATCCGGGCTGCATTCCATCGGTGCATAGGCAGAGACAACAAATAGACACCGCCTATCTGGCCTACTACTCCTTACTTTCGTATAACCTTCCAGCCTCACAGCACATAAACGACTGTTAATGGGAATCCAGTCGAGCAGTGCAGCTTCGGCTCTAGCGCTCGGTGCGACACCGACACCAGCTACGCCAGATGACGACGCCACAGGGTCCCCGGATAAGCGCAGGTGGTACATACTACTAGAACTTCCAGATGGATAGGATAGTCGAAGCACTTCGCTGGGATCTTGAATGCGGGTCTCCGAATTGCAGCAGAAAACGATAGCGAGGCTTTCGAAGGTTCTTGCCAACCCTGCCTGTTGTCCGATTTGCATCAGCGTCCGAACATTGTAGGTGGCCAGCTTGAACGCGGCACGCAGCTTCAGGATATCTGTGTTAGATGTCACATTGGGAACAACCATTTTGAGGACTACTCACTAACATCTCGAAACGACACGGATCGGCTGGGAATCTCAACAAAGGCGAAAGGCTGTCGAAGGTTAAAAAGCCAAGGTTAGCAAAGGTAAAATACAGGAAACTATGTATAAAAATAAAAGTAGGGTAGGAAGAAAATAAGTTGCTTGAGGGATCAATATTGCTTGGAATCATTTTTACTAGCGCGCGTTGAGTTTCAATGAGAGTTCGTTGCTTTAATCCATTCATTCATTGTGTGAGGGCTGAGATACTTCCGGGCACCCAGACCGAAGCAGGTGGTTTTATTAAGGGACCACCCCACGAGCCTTTGACTTGGAATGTAATCCGCAAGGCAGCGGAGCAGCGTCAGGAGCTGCATTCCCATGGTTTCCGGTGACCCATATGGGTTCATACGCCATTTGATCCGATTGGATACTGGAGCCCATGTATCCCATGGTAACTGCTTTTAGTTTAACCGCTATCCAGAAAACCTCCCTGTCATGGTAGGACCTGTAGAGACAGAGTCCCAGTCAGTTTAGCATGTTGGGTCATTACGGTATTCAAGCCCGACCACACGACAAGGTAGCAGTTATCGGCCGGGCTACTCCCCCAAATAGCGAAATTATTCGTTCCGACATTTAGGAAATGAACTGAACAAAGAATATCCTTTTCGATAATCTCCTCTTCTGACTATACAATTATATATTTGTTAATATACATACAATGTTCCAGAATAGTAGTCATTAACCATACTTCTTTTGGATACATAAGTTAGGTTTCTCTATGTGGGTCCCAAAAGCCAGCCTCAACAATATGTAGTAGACAAAGTCTTAAGAAGGTGAAGTTAAGATTAGTTGGTATGTGGTAGGTGACTTCGAAAGCCGCCTCGTTAACATTAATCTTGTTTTCTGTATCCACGAGATCAGATAGAATAAAGCTATGAATTGATTTTATTTGTTCCTTACTTAACTACTCAGGATGATGTTCGGAGATAAATACGCCTAATTGTACCTCCTATGCAACTTATTGGCTTCACAGGAGCAGTCAAATTGGTAGACACATATAGAAGAGGCAAAATTAGGCGGTTTATCTTTAACTCCAGAGTGGGGTGGTTTTGGAGACAACATAATTCAGCAGCATTGAATGTTCTTTTTTACGGCTGTATTCCTTAGGCGTCGTGTTAATATCGCTTGGGTAGATCTGAATGTCCAGCATTCCGATTGAAAGCCCCAGACATTCTCATTTGCCTTTCGACTTTTCTGGGGGGGGGGAACAGCCCTCCTACGCGAAGGCAGTAGATATGGCCTACCTGGTAGAGGCTAAATGAAAACATTTTGAGTGGAAGACAATAAGTCTACTATCCAACGTCGACCTTAGCAGGTTGTTTGAAGGGCACATAGTTATTGTAGTTTTTTATTTTCCATCTATTTCTTCCGTATCATGTTATTGTGTATATATTTATATGTTGATTGGACTCCATGTTCATTTCTTCTGTGTTTGCATTTTTTTAGTTTAATCATACTACGTACCAATCACTTGATAAACAAGGAAAAGAAATTATGCTTAGAAATTTTCTAAATGATATCTCCAATGGGATAAATGACAATAATGAATTATCCTCTACAGAAATTCTTACATCCAGTTGTATTCTTCATAAGGATAATGATAATTGAATAATTGTTAATTTTATGACAGTAACAGAAATCTGTTTAAGGTCCTTGTTCTTCTTCGTTTTCGTCTTATTATTGTACAGATGAACCATAGTTTAGCATATCCATCCATTTCTCTTTGTCTAGATTATTGCACTATATCTACATGTGTTATGCATTAGTCTTTGACATTGTATACATTGTACACAAACTGGACAGTCAGTATATAAACTCCTCCATCCCCAGCTCCCGTAAGCCCACCCTTAACTCTTGTTTTCAGATTTGAATAGGAAGTTATTCATTTTCTTCTTCTCAAATACACACATTTTAAAGAATCCCTCAAACTGTGTGCTTGCTTCTTCTTCTGTCTTGCTGTTTTCCCTTAGTAGTAAGTAGCACTACTCACCTTACTCACCTTACTTACTTCTCTTACTTAGACTTATCACTTAAAACATGTAGTTGATTTTTCTCTCTAGTGTTTTAATTTATCTGGTTGTTTGTAATAATACATTTTCACAATAGGGATTGTTGTGTATAAGTATGCTAATAAAATGATTATTCATTTAAATGAATAAAGTATCATCTAATTTGGTTGTTCATTAGTGTCATCATGTCTGATGTGGTATATTAACCTCTATAACAGATTGTGTGATGGACTACTACTACTACTACTACTTGTATTGAGATTATTCTGCCACATGGTTATTTATCTCAGGGACTTCATTCTTCCTTGTACTCTTCCAAAGTTGTTGCTGTTGTCGCTAGGTTTTCGTAGGGAATAAAGTTTTCTTTTGTTTTGCACAATTGTCTTGTCTTTTCTCTCGATAGTATCTGTAATTTTACATTGATATAAATAAAGAATAATGTGAGACTGTGGGTTTTGATTTCCATACTTTTTTAATTTTGCGAAAAGAAAAATCTTGTTTTAATATGAATGTTTAGGTGTTGATCTGTTGGGATTTTTGTCTCAAACTAGGAAGAAATAACTGTCTAGTACACCGCCCCCCCCCACCCCGGTGGTTTTTCAATGGTTTTCTGAATGATATCAACTGGTGTTTCTAACTTGAAACTGGCACAGTGGTTAGGACTCTCGCCGACCATGCACATGGTCCGGGGTTCGAGCCCGCACCGACGCACACCTGATATCTATGGTCGGCCTGCGAATTTTGGGCTACCGATATCCACGCTGAAAATTCCACACTTGTACCAAAAATACGGTGTGGAATCAAGCTGTAATCAAAAATAAAAAATTAAAAAAGTCACTTGTTATACCGATATTCAAAAAGGGAAACAAGTCCTCGTGTGATAATCATAGGGGGATCAGCCTAACGAACATAGTCTCTAAAATCCTAGGCTCAGTAATCATGCACAGACTAAGCAGAACTCGGGAGGAACAGACGAGGGAAAATCAAGCAGGCTTTAGACCAGGCAGAGGGTGCATAGATCATATCTTCACTCTTCGACAGATTCTAGAACATAGACACACTTTTCGGCGTCCAACAATTGTCATATTTCTTGACTTGAAGGCGGCCTTCGACTCCGTGGATCGAAAGGTACTATGGCAATGTCTGGCTGTGAAGGGAGTGCCAAGAAAGTACATTGCACTAATCAAGGCACTCTATTCAAACTCACGTAGTCGTGTAAGGGCTTATGGGGAATTGTCATCTGAATTGGTAACAACCAGTGGTGTCCTACAGGGATGTCCACTTTCCCCATTTCTGTTTAACTTCATCATAGATATGCTGATGGAAGTATCCTTAACTGAACGTAATGACTTAGGAATCGACTTGTTACCAGGGAATAGTCTTATGGACTTAGAATATGCAGATGACATAGTCCTGTTAGGGAAGGATGCTGACAAAATGCAGTCTTCTGAACACCTTGAGAAGCAATCTTCGTATGATTGGCATGCGATTCGCCCCTGTGTCAAATGTCAAATGCTGCTACAGTAATGAACTACGTCAACTCCTAACTTAGTGATAGGGAGTGAAGTGATAGAACATGTTGACCACTTCACCTATTTGGGAAGTTGTATTAGCACCAACGGACTGATTGGCGACGAAATCTCAGCACGGATCCGAAAAGCTCGAGCTGCTTTCGCTGACTTACACCATCTCTGGCGTAGGCGTGACATCCGGCTATCAACCAAGGGACGTGTGTACTGCTCAGCAGTTCGCTCCGTCCTTCTCTATGGCTCTGAAACATGGCCAATACGCGTTGAAGACATGAGAAGGTTGACTGCTTTCGATCATAGATGTCTGGAATCTCTGTCTCACGTTAGGTGGTTTCACAAGGTAAGTAATGTTGACGTTAGGGTAGAGTGTTGGGCAAAGAGGGAAAATCAATTGACGAGACTATAAAGTTACATAGATTGAGATGGGTCGGTCGCGTGCTGCGCATGCCTAACCATCGCCTCCCCCGCCCGACGGTCATTACTAGCTGATATAGGTGCAGGTTGGAAAAGAGTAAGTGGTGACCAAACAAAAACATGGCATCAATTCATGAAATCCTTGACATTTAAACTGAGTCAGGTAGGGAGATGCAGACTCCCGGGTTGGGGCCCTCGCGACTCTAGGAATCAATGGCTGGAGACAATAGATGACATGGCTCAAAATCGTTGTCAATAGCGCAGATGTATTCAGTCTCTGTAATCTTTCATATTCCTTTCTACCATTACCCATTCTGTTTCACTCTTATACTTGTCGAACTCTATTAATTCTCTTCACTCATCTTCTTGTCTACCTCTGTGTGGTATTTGGAACGTGGCAACTCGAATTGCTGCACTTTGGTGCCAAGTTCTATGTTGAATCCAGACAGACAGAATCAAATCGCTGCAAATGAACACTTGATGTTCACTAGCAATTGTCGCCGTATACAGGAAGTTACCTAAAGTTCTAGTGAGAAGTTGTAACCAGAAGAGTAAGATGACGGTTTACTCGCCGGTGAAATTTGCTGGTGGTGGTTGGGCTATATATATGTATATAAATCGTGATTCGACAAAATTGAAATTTATGGGCCATTGGATTGAGCCTCAGTGGTTGTGAATGGTTTACTAGCTGGCTTTGTAACCTGAAATTCGGGACCCCGCAGGATAAGTACTTCTGAAGAGTCGGAAACCAGGACGACACAGGTGCCTGGTGTTTTTGCAGCTAATGTCAGCTCGTGATCTAACCTGTAATCAACGTGAATGTCTGTCTGTCTGTTTTTAAACATAGAACTTTGCACCGATGTGCAGCAGTTCGAGTTGCCACACTCCATATAGCACACAAAGTCAGAGAAGAAAGTAAAAATGAATGCAAAACAGAAACAGTAAACAGAGATATGAGGCAAAAAGAATAGTAATATTGAAGAACAATATAGTTTTATTTGGTATTATAAGTCACAAGAAGTGGATGCATCTGCACCACTGAGAACGATTTTGAGCCATATCACTGATTGTCACCAGCCATTGGTGTCTACCGTCCCGAGGACCCAACCAGGGGGTTAGCATCTTCCTACGTGGCTTAAACTAACTGTTGTGGATTTGAACAAAGCAAGAACTACAGTTTTAGCAGAATAAAATGGTACCATCTCTTATTTCGTTGCCTTCTCGTCAGCTGCTTACAGGACAAAGACATTATTAAATATATCTACAACAACAATTTTGACATACATGCACAGAGTTCATTTGAGACAAAAATCAATCGATCAATATACGCATACACTAATAATATATACATATATAAATATGCAATATTAAACACCATTCCAAACAATAAAGATCATACACAATGGAAACTTTTAGCATCCGGAAGAAAGAGAGGTGAAAATATCCAATGACCAGGGCAAAGAAAGACTGATAACCGCTTCTTTCTGCACGCGTAACTCAAGTTTCAGGCACTAGATGGAAATGGCTTCAGCAAACTTAAGGACAATTGAGCTCTTTTGCCTATTGATAATTTTGAACGACTTTTCGACGTCCACCTCATGACCCATGTCGAGGAGATGCCTGTTGATGGCACTTTTTAAAACATTTGTTCCCTTTAGACGTAAGCTTTTTGGTACATGTTCAGAAAACGGTAGATATGCCCTTCTTTCTCTCCTTCCAATGTAACTGCTCCCGCAGATACATGTAAATTTGTATATACAGTTGGAGTTAACATGAGAAGGATATCTATCGATTTCTGATTGCACCAAAGAGCAAGTTGTTCGATAGACAGGGACGAGCCTAGCTGCAGGATAGGCTATGGCTAGTGATGTATTCAGCCTTCTGTTGATCATCGCTGCAATGTTTTCACCTTTATAATCAAGCTGAACGTAGACTGGCTTTTTTGCCACTGTGATTTGTTTTACATTTGTGACTTCAGATCTTCCATACTTGTTGATGAACCTTTGAGGATACCCATTGCTCTTCAATATCTTTTCAAGGAACTCAAACTCCTCCTTTAGTTTCTCTATAGAGCATATTCTTCTCGCTCTATAGTACGGAGTCTTGACTAGACCATGTTTAAAGCTATTTGGACAAAAGCTATTAAAATGCAAGTATTTTCCTTTCCATGTGGGCTTTCGATAAATTGACTTTTGAAGTCTACCGTCTTCTAGGCGTTCCATGGTGATGTCGAGGAAGTGAAACTTTCCGTCACTTTCATGTTCCATTATGAACTCAATATTGGCGTTTGCATCATTGAATAATCTTAGTAAGTGTGAAGCATGACTTTCATTGTTGCATACCATAAATGTGTCGTCAACATAACGACAGTAGGAAGATGTTTCGTCGATTGCATGCTTCAACTTTGTTCTTTCGAGGTTTGACATGAATATATCTGCTAAAACAGGGCTAAGTGGACTGCCCATAGCTACACCATCTATTTGGCGGTAAAAAATGTCAAATTGGAATTGTACATCCATGGTACGCATAAGCAGTAGGCGTTTGAATTCCAACTCTAAGAGTGGGAGAAGATCGGACTGCTGACAAATGATCTCAATAGTTTCATTGATTGGAATCATTGGATTTCATTGACTGATGAAGTCATGTTTTTGTTTGA